CAAACATATAACTTATTCACAATTCATAAACTAGTACATATTGTCAAATATATGCATTATGGTCGACAATGTTATTCAACTCTGTCTCATGCAAGCATGTAATACAAATTTTCTTCGAAGACACATATTACACGAAGTAAAAAAAAAATTGCACAAGCAATTAAACAATTTAAGCAATTAGATAATTAATGTTTCGCCCCGAAACTTAAACTAAACATTGTCCCAAATGTGAAATTAAATATAAAGGAGGACTTCCAAGAGTGAATATATCAATTGTTTTCATCGCTATTCGAGTCATGGTGAGGCGGAGCTAGATTGATTGAGGTGATGGATGTTGATTCTATTTTCGCCCCCAAAGTTAAACATTGACCTACAAAATTAGCAAAAATATGAAGGAACTAAATAAAACACTAATATCTATATACTTAAAGAGAGGGAGATCTTGGGTTGCCTCCCAAAAAGCGTTTTTTAACGTCATTAGCTTGATGCTGTCGGATTGCCTTAGGTTGGATCTTCAAGAGGCACTTCAACATTTTGCTCGTCCTCTCCATAGTATTGCTTACGTCACTGGCCATTGTTTTGGAATATGAATTCATCCTTGCCCTTTAACTTCACAGCACCAAATGAAATACATTGTGAATCGTTAATGGTCCTGGCCATCGCAAGTTAAGCTTATCTGGGAGCAACTTCTAGCAGGAGTTTTGGAGAAGTACTTGTTGTCTCGTAATAAGCTTTCTTCTCCATATCTTTTGCATTAGACAATTAGCACTGAAGATCTCTTTGGATTCAACGGAGTTGAGAGGCTTCAAAAGATCTTCATTCTGGATCTTATTACCTTCGAATGGGAAAGCTTCACGAGCCAAGATGGAATCAACCTCTTTCGTATTCCCTATGTAACTTCGAGAAGCAGTTATTTCAATTCTTGAAGCACTAGTTGCAATATCAATCTCTGGATGGTCATCAGTCAGTTCTTTTTTACATTTTGGAGAGCTTCCCTTCCAAATCCAAACCCACTAACCCAATACTCTCTGTTCCAACCACCGGCCTCACGCCACCATACCTTGGTCCCTCCGGCCAAGAAAGACAAGTGCAGGCGGCGGCCCTAGGAGGAAACCTTAGCGCCGCCGCTCAGGTCCTGGAACAACAGTGGCTTCCGGCGACCCACTGGCTACACGTGCCTGGCCGGAAGGCCGTGCAAGCCATTCCGAGCTCGTCCATGGCGGCGCCATCTCCGGGAAGTGCTCCGGCAGCGCGTGAGTCACACGCGCTGGCGACTGGGCTTCTACAGAACCAGCCTGACCTGCCCAAGCCATTCCACCCTTCCATTCAACTGACGGATGCACCAAGACAACGGCATGTGGATTTGTTTGGT